TGCAGGTCCTCAGATGCAGAAGTCCTCTCTGCAAGGTCTGCTGGGAGACCTGGAGGGCTCAGCAGTCCCATAGCACCACCCCCTGGAGATGACAGCACAGGACTGAAGACTACTGCACAGTTCAAAGAGGAGCAGGGATGGAGGATTTTCCAAAGCCTGCCTCTTCCCACTGAGCGATATTGTCTCCAGAAGGAATCTGCGTCCTCTCCTGCAACAGCAACATGTCTTGACTAGGAGAAGGGTGTGCAGAAGTCACCGGTAGTTTCTTTGTGGCATACGTGACACACTGCCTAGATGATCCATCATCATTGTGCCTTTGCCAGGAAGAGGGACTGTGAAATCCCTGTAGTTAGAAAGGGGGTTATCATTTCTAAAGAGGCTATCATTCCAAAGAAACTGGAGCATAAAAGAACACTTGGATCTATAAAGCAACAGGATACATACCAAGTATATCTTGGAAGTCTTCTGCATGAGGGAATTTTGCTCTTACATTGTTGAAACCTGCTCTCTGTCTTGTTCATCCTAGGCTGACACTGCTGCTCACCCTCGGCAGAAACATGGACATCAAAACTAGCCAAGCCCACCTCTACCTGCAAAGAGAGGGAAGAAGCCAAGCTCTGGCAGAGGCACTGGCCTAGCATGTTCATGAACAGGGCCTGTGTCCTCTCATCTTTGGATGGAAATTGGCACAAGAGTTCTCCTCTCCTTCCAGCTTGGGAGCATTAATCTGGGTGTTCATAAGCCAACTGAGAGGCACATTCTACTCACCTGGCATTGTGGCTCCCTCATCAGATGGGAATTTGGGGTAATGACTCTCGGGAGTGAGGTAAGTGGAGCAGAGAAGAGGTGCTGCATAAGCAGGCTGAAGCAATGCCACATGCCAGCGCTCCTACTGAGCCCTTGGTGACAGAAAGCCATGGGCTGGGATACCAAAATGACAYCATTTAATTGTTATAAATAGCTCCTACAAGAAAGACCTGTCAGATTTATCCCAGATCCCCTGTTATCATTTTGAAAAGCTCAAACAAATGTAGAAGAGGGCAATAGCGGACCAGGAAAAGTGATGCAGAAAAGGTTATAGATAATAATTTCGCTAAATACCACAAAATAGTGCAATTAGCCATCCCCAGGATGCCACGAGCAGTTTGCTAGTCCACAGGAACTTTGGCATGGGATCCTCTTGCTGAGTCAGTGACAAGTGAGCAGACCCAGGGATACAAGAGGGGTTTATTGGCACTGCCTGAGCAGCACGAGTCCTCCCTCCGTGCTGGACCGGTGGCTGTGCCTGCTGCTCGTGCTGGCATCCAGGGAGCTGGTTTGGGATGACCTAGATGATATTTTCTCTGCAAGAAATGAGAGAAGTAGAGCTCAGGATTTAAACATTCAAGTTACAGAGTATTGATGAAGATCACGACTTGTGACTTCAGGAAGACCATCTACTTTCAGGCAGGAAAGTTGTTTGACTGGCACCTCTCTCCTGCCCCTTCTCTGTCACTCCAGAGCAGATGCTTTCATGGTCTCCACGCCACATCTCCCTTCAGTTTYCAGCCCCAAGAGCACCTGCTCTTCACCAATTTGGAGGATATTTCCAGAGAAAAGAGAATAGAGCTCACTTAGCCATAATATAAGTKCATGGGATACAAGCAGTGCTGCTGACTCTGACACACTCACACATGTGCTTTCTCATGCTGACCAGTCAGTCTCTTACATGAGCACCCATCCTCTTGCTTGTTGAATTACTGGCCCTACTAGTCATTCTGACTTGCAGATGACAGAGCGCCATGCAACTCTGCTCCCCAGGTCCCAAATATCAGTGATTTAAGCACATGGGGCTACAATATAAAATACTCRTGTGAAAGGCAGCAGTGAGGCAGCTTCAATTAATGAGAATACCAATACATAGCAAGACTTGCAAGAGCCTTCTGTTCTTGGCATGCCAWGTTCTTCCAGGGATCACTCATGTTCCACTCTCAAAAATTCAGACCCTTCCAACGAGCTTGGCCCTTGYGTGTATCAGTCAAGCAGAAAACAGAGATTTCATTACATTGAAGGTAGCACTGGGTCCTTACCAACATGGAAAGTAAAACTGGGATGGCCCTCCTCCAAGGGGAAGGAGCAATATGGACCGTCATTCTGTGATTAACTCCTTTCTTTCTTTGCAAAGAGCAACAGGCCACCTCAAAAGGGACATCTAGAGCCCAACGGAYGCTCTTCCAGGTGAAGTGCTGCAGTTCCCAACTGAGGATTAACAGACTCCTTCAGCTGTAGCGAGAGGCGCTTGTTTTCCTGACTGTGGTTCCAAGCCTCTGGCTCAGCACACATACCCGTTTCACCTCCTGAGCCATGGCAGATGGCCTGGTGAGCACAGTTATTGATGTGGGAGGATCAACATTTCAGCTGTCCGTGCTCCATCCCCATGTGTTTTTAAAGAGATCTGCTCAGGATGGACAAATGACGTCTCCGGGGACTTGAATGACCAAAAATCCTTGAGGTTTCAGCCCATGGAGGAGAATGGGCCTCCACATGGCACAGGAGTGCCAAGGAGAGCACAGGCTGGCTCCGGCACTGTTCTGCTTGTCTTGGTAGGACAGGTATATGCTGWAGAGCCAGGATGAGGTGGGACAATGTTGCTGGTCCTGGAAGTTCCACTCTCATAGACAGATGTGTGCAGTTTGGGTAGCCTGTATGCTGGGATCACAAAGCACAGGTGTATCCAAGCAGTCCTGGTGGATGGAGGTGCCAATAGGTGGCGGCAGCAAGAGAGTAAGGGTTTGCACAATATGAAACATAAATCTACCCAGAAGCAGCCCGTACTAAGAAATCCAAGCAAGGAAAAGGATGTGATCGCTTTCCGTAAGTGTTGGACTTCTATGCCACTGTAGTTTTGGAACTTAATTTGAAAGATGAGAGACTGCACTATTCTGACAGTCAGTCAATCAACATGCTCAGATATAAGTGAGAAAAATCTTTAGATATCTTGTTCTTTCAAGTTTAAAGAACAATCTATATAGACATTACACCCTGAAGGTCAACCTACATAGACATCACATGCAAAAACATCATTGCAATGAGATGGAATTGGCATTCAAGAAGGGCTGGGTCTCTGTCCACAAAATAAACGCTTAACTCGAGGTAGATTTTACTGAAATAAGGTTTAATTTCACAACTTACTGTTGCCTGGCCTGTACAACACTCTGTACAAAACAAACCGAAGAACAGCATTTCAGCCCCGCATAAATGTTTGACTGGCTGTATGAGAATTCAGTGGCTTTGAGTCTCCGAGGTCGACTCTCCTGCCTTCTGTGATGCTGTCATGGACGCAGAGTTGCTGCTAATGCTGCAGCACTGTGCCTTGGGGAAATGATCATACATTCTGGCTTTCCAGTTTCATTCTCCACTCAGTGAGGAAATCTCTCAGCCACGGCAGAGGATCTCTTGCGGTATCACATATTTCTGGTTAAATATGAAAGATTTTTAAACTRTCCTTCCATTCTACAAAAATATTCCAGAGATGTTATGAGGTAGGGGCAATTACATTCCAAACATGATATTAATGTGGTTAAGACTTCTATATCCTTTCCTATAGCACTTGCTGTAGCAGTTTCTTAAAGAATAACATCAATCTGCCCACAGAAATACAATTAGCTCTAGATTTCCATTTACTTCTGCCAATGCATCTTCWCTGCCAGTAGGACTGTCCTATATTAATCTTGCCAGCGATTTTCTCTGGTGCTCAGGCAAAATAACTGTCAGTGTTTACAATGGAGACAGATATATATTTTTTTCAGCTTAGGAGGTTAAAGCAAACAATATGCTTAGCTGCTACTGGTCATGATACGCAGAACTGCTTTTAGTAGAATTAGGAAACCTGCCAAGGATTAGATGGAATCTGAAACGATGGCTGGGGATTAGAAATGCACAAGGCTAAAGGTCAGCTTCGCAGAGCCACGGCGTCATGAAGTGCTCTTGTGCCAGCCTGACGACAGCTGGGCTGCACGGCAGAATAGTCTGTCAGCTGCCCGATATTTACAGAAAGTTTCATTTTGGCCAAATCTTTTTTCTTGCCATCTTCTGTGTTCTTGAGAAGCTTCAGTCTCACAGCTTTTAAAAGTCATAGTGGAAAACCATGACCATTATGAAAAGACACAATCCCCTGAAAGCCTCTTTTTTTTTTTCTCTCCATTTTGACTATTGTGCAGTACAACTACTAGATCAGAAAAATAAAACACTCAGACTATCATGCACATCTGAAAATAGATACAGAGCTTTCATACAGAGGCAGTTCTCAGTGAAAACGTTCTCATCCTGACAGGAGTGCAGAGATGTTTTCAGGAAGACTGTGCTACAGGGAAGATGCTGAAAACAAGAGGAAGAGAGAAGCAACTCAGTATTGCAGTGAGATAGTTTGAAAGATACGCTGGAAGGAGTATGTGGCTCAAAGTTAAGGATATTTCATGAGGAACTGAGTAAAACTGCCAGAGATATTTATCCATAAGTACATCCACAATCCATCCATCCTCAATTGCACTRATTTTCTATTCATGCCAGTATTCCTAATGACTTGTTTTTACACTTATCTCATATCCTCCTTTCCTCCCTTCTCATTGCTCTTAGTTACCTAACCCCAGCTTTTTCCTCACTGCTAATATTGCTATTGCACAAGTTCTTTACCCTGCCACTCCTGCCGTGTAGAAAAATCTAAACTTGATATTGTCTTCCTAGATGAAAATGGGATATTTCTTTCTAGAAGATTAGCTCAAGGTCAACAAAAATCTCTGGGCTCATGTAGAAATCAAGTTGTTTTTCAGATCTGCCTTTTAATTTCTGTTTCTGTCTTTCACATTTGATCACTAATAGATTAATTAAAAAATCTGTAAAGCAGTTCCAATGCATATCATCTCATTGGAAATACATTCTGACACTAAAGCCTTATGGCAACCATTTTTAAGGTATCTTGGCAGCAATGAAATATCTTAATGTCATGTGATGAATTAAAGACATTAAAGATTGTTACCTGTAATGGTGAGGGAAGCTTTRCTGAATGCACGGCCCAATGCATTGCTGGCCTCTACCATATATTCTCCTTCATCATTTTTTATAACTCCTAGGATCATCAGGGAGCAGACACCAAAGATGTTTTTGCACAAATAGGTAGGATCCTTGGAGAGGTCCCTGCCATCCTTATACCATGTAATCTTGGGTTGCGGATGGCCTGTAACAGCACAGCTCATTTGGCACTCTGTCCCAATGGTCACCGTGTGAGGCTTCAGTTGGACAAGGAATCTTGGGGGTTGATTTTGATTAACTCCCCTGTATTCTCGCTGTCTGATTTGGAAATCAGCTGTTAAATAAAAACAAACAAACAAAAAATTAGAAAAAATGAACAAACAAATCCAGCAACATACAAACTCACATACTGCTCTGTGGGGATAGAAGCCAGCATAAAGGATGGATTTTTAACTGTGGCTTCGAACAATGACATTCCACAGTGCCAAGAGGCCAGACACCTGTAAATAGTTAATTTGTGGTTTATTCACAAATTGGCCAAGTTTTGACCTAAAGCCAGAAACTTTGGTTTCTGTAAAACTTAAAGCTCAGCTTTTATTGGGACTTCATTTTGTGATAAAATAAGTGTGATACAACTACTAGAGGAATATTATCTGATTTGCAACAATGTCTGTGCAGAGAGAACAAGCCTTTCTTGTGTAGTATCTCTTTGCACTCTCATTGTGGGCAGCTATTTGTTCTCAGCCCAGAGCGACCTGCTTCAGAAGGCTCTACTAGAAACATTAAAAGGAACAAAACATGACAGCATGGAAACACTGACAGTTATTTATAAAATCTGTTTTACCCTTTTGTTTTTTAAGTCTCCAAGGATCCACATTTTCAGACGGACCACTGGTTCCCAAGCAATTTTTTGCCACAACCCTAAAGTAGTAGTCTCGGCCTGGGATAAGTTTTGTGTATGTGAATTTATTGGTGTAGATCATGTCACCAACTGTGTGCCACGAGCCCTTCTGTGATTCACGTTTCAGGACTGTGTAGTAGAGATCACTTTCCCATTTCTCAGATGGAGATGGCTCCCAGGTCACTGTCACTGTTTTCGGCACGTTCTCTTCTAATACAACAGGTCCAGGGGACTGTGGGATATCTRTCAGATGAAGGCAAAAATAAAAAAGATGTGTGTGATTCTGCATGTAGGGACATTGGACTTCATCAGATATTTTAGGTTTAGATGCTGAGGAAACATCCTGGTCAAYAGAAATATGAAAGTCGTAAAATTTGATTTTTCCTCCTTCAGATGCACATGAACTTCTCCTGCATTATGCCAGCAGCGCTGGGCCTCTTCTTCTGGATAGAGGTAGAAGATGAGGGGTGACACAGCTAAACTTTTTTGCCTTASTGAGACAGCTTAAAGAGTTGTTAAGGCTATAACTAGTGTTAGGTTGCAACAAAGAGCGTGAGCTGCTCTTCTGTGATTTGCACTCTCTAGCTTCAGAATCTTGTATTTTTAAACAGATTCACTCTAGTAAGGAGGCGTAGTTAAACTCAGTAGACTGCTCTGTCCCACAGATCTGGGCAAGTGATGCCACGAAGTAGCTGGATTGAATCTCATGGAAAATTGCATTCACTTATACTCCTTAGTTCTCTCTCTGCCTGCACGGCTTAACTGAGCCAGAGCTCACTGTGCTCAGCTCCTTGCCTACTGCCTAAATGTGAACACACAGACAGTAGTGACTTACCTGTAACTTGAACTTGGAAACTGAATGATTCTTTATTCCCTGACCCATTCTGGAGCTCAACAGTGTAGGTGCCAGTGTCAGAAAACTCAGCTGCTTCAATCAGCAGTTGGGTGGTACCATGTTCGGTGTTTATTTTGGCCCTTTGGGGCAGAGGATGCCCGTCCTTTAACCAGGTCACTACCGGATCTGGAGATGCCTACAAGGAGTAACAGAGGTTACAGACCACCTGTTTTGTCTCCAGGTTATGTCTTTAAACCCTAAGCATTTTTGTCTTCTATCAAATGTATATTTACATGACATGCTCCAGTGATACATAGAAATACTTGAGCTGGATCTAAACAAATTAGATCCAAATAGAAGATTATGATAATAATGATGACAATCTTCCTCCAGCATCCAAGTAAACCTCTTCAGAACTAGTTCAGACATCTCTGCAAAAAACTACTTTATTTTTTTTATTTCTTCATTTTTTTTCTTTAACTTATAAATACAGTAAAGAAATTTTAGATTCTTTAATATCTTTCTCTCTTTCTCTCTTTCTCTTTCTCAGTGCAAACCTATTTCTTAGACAATACAAGTTAAATACTGCTGTTTAGTGAGTTGAACACAGTCAGCAGGATGTTGCTAGAAAACCTGCCCTTGGGTCTTCAGGGAAAATCAGCTGATGAATCTAAGTATGTGAGTTTAGTAGTGGATGATGATAATATTGAATACTGTCCATCCAACCATATGAAGATGTCTTGTTTGCAGAGATTAATGAATGACCATAATCTTATAATCCAGCAAAAGTGACATAGGAATTGACGTTTTCCTTGTGCAGAAAGTTTATAAAATATAAGCAGCTTAAAGGATTTGCCCAGGATCTTGCAAAAAAAAGTCATGCCAAGAGAAGACAGCCCAATTTACATGTCTTCTACTGGCTACAGCATAAACACATATGGGGATTTGATATGAAACCATCTCAAAACTTACTTCAAAACGCATTGGCACTCGGATGGTGTTGCCTGCTTTTATAACCAGGAAGCTTTTCACTCTGTCATTTATTAGGAATCTGGGAGGAACTGGAAAAGACAGTGATTGCAATCAAAAATTATGTGGTATGACAAAATTTTTGGCAGAGAAACGCATATGTATGTGTCTGATACTTCTTCCCAGCAGCCAGCTTGTTGGTTATTGATAAAATAATAATGTTGAAGACGAGGTCCGTAATTCAGCACCAGAGTTCCTTGCTAACCATTACACTTTTTAAATTTTACTATTATTTATTTACCACTATGACTAAACAAGGGAAATAATGTAAAGATATTTTCACATGATATCATAACATCTCAATCATTGATAAAGTGGCTCACGGACACACTTTTATCACAGTCTGCAACAAAGTTGTCTGTGTCCCATGTCCTGCAGAAGGACCTCGTTCATTCTGAAAGCAGCCCACTCTGACTTACCAACAGGAGGAGGAGCCTCAACAAAAGTTTCAAGCTCTGCAGCTTCCCCAGGGCCACTGTCATTGATGGCTCTCACACGCAGGAAGTACAACTCTTTGGCTTGCAGGCCCTTAACTGTGTACGTCGTTGCCTTGATAGGAAGAACACTGCATTTGGTCCAGTTGGGGTTGACATAAGATCGCATCTCTACCTCATAGCCTTTCACATCAATCCCATCTTTTGTCTCCGGGGCTTTCCATGTCAGGGTGATGCTAGTGCTGTCATGGCTGGCCACTCTAAGGTCCCTCACTTGACCTGGAGGTTCTGAAACGAGAATTTTATATTCAAATATTTTTTAGGTCTTCCTACCTCCCTTTTCAGTCACTTCCGGAGGCTCTCAATATTCTTGCAGTTCACTGGATATCCACCCTGCTAACTTGCCTCCAGTTTGTCCCCATTTGAGAGAGCTGGATCCAGTTTCCTGCTCCCACTAACATGGAGCAGATGCCGCACAATCTGCAGCACTCTTGCAATACTCTGCAACCCATTCTAAATTTCTGTTTATGGATCTTCCATAAACACTCTCTGTCTACATCCTTTTTTAAGCATCCCTGAGGTAGAGAGATGAAGACAGTTTACTTACCTGTGGAATCCCGAGCAAAGGCAGGCTGGGATGCTGCACTGGCCTCTCCTACACCAGCAGCATTGACAGCTGCCACACGAAATTCATACTGCAGCCCCATCTTTAGATTGGTCATTTTCAATTTCCTGTCTGCAGGAAGAAAAAGAGTGTGTTGGCTCATGTGAACAGTTCCCCAAGCAGCAGTCAGTGACAYGATGCTGGACTTTAAGACATGTGGAATTGCACAGTGCATAAGACTCAGGAGCTATGTCTAAATGTTGCCTTTGTTCCTCTGCCTTCTATGTCCTAGTGTATATGTGCTTCTGTTCATTTTGTTCCCTTTCAGACTAGACATGATCTGAGAGCTAAACAAACCAGAGAAAGAAAAAACACCATTTCTCTTCATGGGATAATCCTAAACTCTTCTATATCAGATAAGAAGTCTTAGCCTGCACCTGACAGATAATTAACAGCTCTAATCAAACACATTTTTGAGCACATATACATTACTTGGCTTTCTTTATGTCCCTTGTGTTTATAAATTCCTTTCTGTCACATTACAAGCACTAGGATTAAGGATATCATTTCTGCACATGAAGTAAAGAAGTAAAGACAGAAACTTCAAATCAAAGATCAGCTTGTTGCCTTCTAAGCTGACTGCACTTTTTGCCTTTTTGACCTTTTTCAGCATGTTCCAGGGCTTAAACTACCTACCTGCTACAGGCATATTGGTGACTGGCACCCAGGTACTGGCACCCTTCTTGCGCTTTTGAACAAGGTACCCCACAATTCGGGAACTGCCAGTGTTATGAGGTGCTTTCCAGGATATTGTGATCGTTTCTTTGCCAGTACTGACGATCTCAGGAGGATCCGGGGGACCAGGTATAGCTAAAAAGAGAATAGCATTTCATTATTAGCATTTTTTTTCTTTTGTAAGGTAAGGAAGTTCTCTAAGTAGTTTCTTCCTTCAGTTTCTTCAATGTATTCATACAGATATGTTTTGAAGACATGAACAAAGAAGACCTGAAGACCATTGTATATCTTATTTTCCACACAAATACAATCCAGAAGTATGGACCTCCTTTCCTAATGTTGCTGATCTGATGTCATCACCACCAAGAATTACACTGTCAGTCTACAGAGAGTAGTATGAACATTCTTAAACCATGGGAAACGTTGGTGTTAATTTTGCTTTTCATGATAGAACTTGGATTCAGGATGGATTTTCTAATCACCCTGCTAGAGCCCTCAAATGTAGTAACAATACTGAAGGGCACAACAATGAAAAGTTAGAAAAATTTATCTTTGCAAAGGATGGTCTGTAATTTTGTGAATGAAAATGCCGACAGAAGAAAAAGGTTCACTCTCTTACTAGCATTACATGCATGCTTGTGATAAAAATGTTCTAATATTTGAATTCATTGGAGGAGTCAAAGAAGAGAAGTTGTTATTTGGAAATCAGGGCTTTAACAAGGTTGTACTAAAAGGTGCTGCAGGCACCAAGAGACACTTGCCTGTAGAGTTAATAAAGGTTTTGCATGTTTTATTTGTAGTCACCCAAGGAAATAGTATCTCTGCTCTTGATGCTTATTGAATTGCTGCCATTAACCTGTTTTGGAATTCAGATTGGAACAAAACTGAAAATTTARAACTGCTTAACTCAGTAGCATCAAAACCAATAGGAAGCTCCCAGCCTCCGTGTGAAATCTACACCAGTTTGTTCAGCCAGAAGGCACRTTCAGATCTGTAGTAACATCCAAAATGCAGTCACTTTTCCTTAATATCAGTTTTAATACAAAATTTCCCATATGGTTGTAGAATATTATTTTTAAAAAAAATTCTTCCTTACCTTTACTGGCAGCCTTCACCTCATCTGATTCCAGTGGCTCACTGGCTCCCTCCACATTCACAGCTCGCAACCTGAAGTAATAGCCCATGTCTTGTTCTACTTTGTTCGTAGTGAACGTGGTACAGGTTTTGGGCGTTTCTCCCAAGGTCACCCACTCTTCCTTGCCTACTTGCTGCATCTGGATAATATAGTTTTGCACTGGTTTGCCCCCGTCATCCTTTGGGGGTTTCCACTGAATGGTGATGTCGCTTGAGGAGCTTTCTATGACTTTGATGGGTCCTGTGGGTTGCTCGGGCTTGTCTGAAAAGAGAAACRCAACAACTGCAGATCAGCACTAGATTCTGACGTGTCCTTGGGTTTAGAGCAACTGCTGTCCCTTGCTCACTGGCTGGAAGAGTTGGTTTCAGCTAGATATATACAGAGCTGCAAAATGAGGCACCTTTCCAACAACTACTCTCCCCTAAGTTTTCATAAGGGGTAGAAGGGTTCTTGCTTCTCAGGTTGATTATTCCCGTGAGCATCGTATCAAGGCAGCTCCCATATGAGGACAAATATCTTTTCTGGACACACAAAACAACAGACATTTATGGTAGGGCTGAACTTGGCCTTGATGGTTTTTTTAAAATATATACCTATTGTCTACTGTCCTATCTTCCACAATCGCCCTACATTCAAAACTCAACTGTTGGGACTGTGAAAAAGTAAACTAAATTTGTGTGATCTTATATTAAAGCTTAAGAAATGTGTCWGCAAGGTTTTTCTATACCAATTTAGTGGATGGTAAGACAACTACACAAAAGCTGATGTAAATCAAAACAWTTCTACTTTAGGTTTTGACTACTTCTGTGTATTGCCTACACAGAGGGGTATTTCACTTTCTGTACCAACACATACTCAGACATACCACATGATACTAGATGCAGTTGAGAAGTTTTCCTAGTCCTGTAGCTGCTGTATGCAATATTACCCTGCTTTCCTGAAAAGCAGTAACTGACATCATTGCAGGATAAAGATCTTCTTATAAAATCACCTGTCATCTGTAAAGCTCTCTGATCACTATGTCCAAGCTCACAAAAAAAAGAGAGATTCTATTAATATGGAATCCTAAGTTGGTGAGAAACAACCAGCAGAAGAAATATTTGAGTTTTCATAGCCTTTCACAAGAATACCTAAAATAGAAAGCCAGCTATAATATTAGTATCTATCTTTGAGAAAAGAAGCTTATTGTTGATTATTTATGTTTAAATTCCTTCAGTATTCCAAGAGYAGTTTTGCCAGACAGAGACTTAAAGAATATGTTTAATTTAAAAGAGTAACAGTAATTTAACAAGGCCCAGCCATGCCAAGTGACACGGACCATATTGGTTTGATAACAACATACTTCCCAGTGAGTACCACAGTGCTGGACTGCCATGGCCATGTGCCAGCTGATGGGCCTGGATCTTCTTGGCATATGCTCGTGGCATATGGGACAATTTTGTACTAATCCAAGGTGTAGGCACAGTCAGAATCCCTTAACTGCAAATACATCCCTTTGACCTTATCAAAGTCAATGGCAGTTAAAGAAATTCTGCATTTGTAGGATTTCRTCAGTATATTTCTATCTGGGTAGCTCCAAAGCGAAGCAAGAATAGATGCTCCTACGAGCAATGTTCATAAAAGCTTTATTTATCTTGAAATACATTGCAGCCCTAAACAGAGGTGTCACCAGTGCTACTCAGGCTCCCCTCCCTGAGCCACAGTGGAAGCCAGAGTGGATATTAGAGGGTTCTTACCTATTACCACAAGCTTCAGGTTTATCTCCAGGACTCCATGGTCATTCTTCAGCCTGATTTTGTAATCCCCACAGTCCTTTCTCTCACTGCTGGAGATGGACAACATGGTAAAGGTATCTGCTTTATCCACACGAATCCTCGTGTCATCTATCAGCTCCATTCCATCCTTCAGCCATGTTGCTCTGATGGGTAGCTGGCCCTCGAAGGGGATCTTGATCTTCACTTTCTGCCCAGCCTTGGTCACAGTAGGAACATTTGTTAGGTTTTTGAGGAGAACTTGGTCAACCTGAGGAGGATCTAAGCCAACAGTACAAGGTCATTAATAATTGCACTTCAAAGAGTACAAAGCCCTCCTTGGAGGGARGGACTCCTTTGTATTCACAGTTGCTGTATATTCCAAATAAGATTTAATCTGGTTCTTTGGGGTTTATGCAAACTGAATCATGATGATGCAGGTGATGCTCAGAGACTYACAACATCTGGATTTTCTCCTTCAGCTGCATGCACAGAGCACATGCACTTTCCTACAGGAAATCTGACAAGGTACTTATATTATCATACTGCCCTTTTCACTGGAGTAAACTTTGTCCTGAATGCATAATCTCAGAGTACACTAAACACACATGGAAACGAAGAAACTGTTTTGATGAAGTGTTATGTGCATGTCAAAGTCTTTGAATTAATGACAGGAGCTGTTCAAGAAGACTCCCTGATTAATTTTGGAAACACAATGCACCAATCTCTATGAGAAAACATCTCCTGTATCATTGTAGATTATTTACTACAAAGCTGTCTTGATGTCCAGCTACAGAAAATGTATTACATTTCAAGCACATCAAGGGTAGTACACTGCATTAAGAATGGTAGTAGCTTGAACAGACTCACCTTCAACAAAAATAGAGGCTTCTGTTTTTATATCTGCAGTTTCAAACCTATATTTTCCAGCGTGAAAATCTTCTACTTTGTCAATTACCAGTTTGTGAACTGAGCCTTGCTTTTCAAAAAGGACTCCTTCCATATTTTTTATCTACAAAGCAAAGCACAGAGATCTATTATTAAAAACAATCAAATAAACAACAACAKACAACAATACAAACTTTGACAAGACAGAAATCTTAGACATATGACGTAGCTATTCTATGGAAATATGACAAATTTGAAATACAATTTAAAAGTTCCAGSAAAACCCTGTGTGTTTGAATCCACTAGCAAGTTACCAATAGCTGTGTCTGAGATAGTCTTTTAACAGCTGCAACAAGCACTGAAAACACAGCAGTTCCCAGAAAACAGCATCTTCTGGGAAACTTCTGCTTTGCTTACAACACTCTCCCACCAAAACTTGTTATTAATGCATAAGAAACATCCTGCTATGGTCCAAATAGTTTAATAGCAATAAGATTCTGGGATTACTTATCTGGTCACTATTTATCAAAGAAAATAGCAACTGGGCAACACCTACCTTTAATCCATCTTTAAACCAGGTTCCTTGCACATCTTTACTGCTGACAGTACAAGCCAGTTCAGCTGACTTCCCTTTCACGACTCTGACATCTACTAATGGCTTGTCGACACGGCAGCGCAGTGCTGGAAGTTCAGAAAAGGAAGTGTATAAGGAGCAGAGACTGACGGAGAGCAGCATACAAACAAAAATGCACATGCAGGTGAGGAGAAATCTTATTTTAAAAAAATACACTGCAGTCATGACAGGGCTTTGTACCAAGATGCTTCGGGCCAACTGGCATAAACTCACTGCTTTGGAGGACTTTTCAACTGGCCTGCATTCAATAGGGCACTTTTTCAATCTAATGCACAACAAATTCCTCACAAATCAGAATATCTGTCTAGAGATTTGCTATTTTAAATCTATGCTAATTGTCTTAGCTCCTTCTACAGCCAAAAACCAGGTTCCTCCAAAACATGGATGGCATATTTTATTATTCTTTCCCATTCTTGTTCTTTTTTTTTTTTCTRCATTAACCAGATAGAGGGTAGTTCAAGTGACCTCATTGAATAGCTCCAGTCAAATCATTCTCTACCCGTTGTATTCCCTTTTTTCATTCCCAGTTGTTTCGCTTTAACATCTTCATCCTCTCTCAAATAAACAGTATGTCCATATTTACCTTTTCTTCAGCTGCCCCAATTTTCCTGATTTTACACCTTTATTTGTATTTGTTATGATTGCCTTGGAAATTTCTTGTTTAGCAGTTCCACTAAGCTAGTATCCTCATTTATATATAAGAAGTTTTTCACTTCTATAATTTCTCATCTTGATGTTATAGCTGCTTATCAGGGTCATGTAGATGTATACATGTTATTCTCCTTTTTCTATACGCAATGTGTTACATTTCTAAAGATAGAAGAGATAAGAGCTCTTTACATTACATCTGATGTGCATGTTAATTCAATATAGTAATTTGTTCCCAGAACTATTGAAAAATGCAGTTCTTTGAAATAGGTGTTAGCATTTTTCTTTGTTTCTTCTAAGCTTTAAATTGCATTAAATCAAAGAACTAAAGCCATATTCCTCGAAACTAAATGTGAACTAATATGCTTGTGGCCTGAAGCCTGTTGCATTTGTGCTTTGAATCAATTGGCTTGGATGAACATGCACCTGTTTTGCATCATTTAAATAAAAATGAGTATGAGTCAGTCTCATTGGTCATTGGTAGAATTGCAAGTGCTCAGGGCACATCTTCATAACACTCAAGAGACATGCTCAAAATCTGACTTACCCAAAATAGCTTAAGCTTAACATGCTTGTCTACAGAAAAATAGCAAATCAGTGGTAGAATTAGGAATAGATTTCAGGAGAAAACAAATTTCTCCATATAACTGCTTGCCTTAACCGTTAAGATTCACCTCTTTCCAGAATTAGAAATGTGAATATCAAAACGTAACCACCATCTACATGAAAATCATCAGTTAAGACATACCTCTCAAACCATCTTGGGGAAAACGTCTTCTTTTTTCAGTACTGTCCATACTCATCAAGTATTCTTTTGCTTTTAGTTCAAGGTCAGGTATTCTCCTGTTTATTGAAGCCAGTACTCCATCGAGACCTGACATCTGATCATAACCCCGTGAACCAAGAACACCCAACTTTCTCGCATCAGGATATCTCCTATAGTATTTGCCTTCTGCTCCACCAAAGGCAGAATCCTTGCCATAATAGGAACCTAACTGTCCTGAATCCTTGTCCTCAACCCTGGCACTTCCTTGCTTAGAAAGTGAATCTCTGTCAATGGTTGAAACTTTTTGTCCTGATGCTCTGATATCACTGGGAGCACCAGTTCCAGCTTCATCCCGTGCAGAAAGTTTGCCAGGACGGGAATCCAGACCAGACTGACGAGTCAGTCCAAGAGCATCTACCCCACCTTCTCTACCATGGATTGAATGCAACTCTATTTCATCACTTCCCAACCTGCCAACACTACCTGCCCCAGCCCTGGAGCCAGCTGTCACACTGTCCTTGCCATAGGGAGATCCAGCAGCTTGTGTTGCAGAGGCACTAACACCCTCACCTTCTAAAGATGATCTGCCATGAGCAGCTCCTCCTGCTCCACCTAAATATCCTTGAGTTTTGCTCAGCATAGCATCCTTGCTGTGATAAGATCCCATTCTGTCTTCACCTCCATAAGGTAAATGGGCAGCTAGAGCACCACCTGCTGCATCTGAAAGACCACCTTTTCCATGGAGAGAGCCATCAACACCGGCACCACTGATACCAGCCCCAGCTGGAAGACCATCCTTTCCATAGGGAGAACCAACACCTCCCAAGCCATCAACACTAGCACCACCACCACCACCAGCTCCAGCTGGAAGACCGTCCTTTCCATGGAGAGAACCAGCACCACCCAAAGCATCAACTCCAGCACCACCACTGACACCAACTCCAGCTGGAAGACCATCTTTTCCATAGGGAGACCCAGCACCCCCCAAAACACCAACATCAGCCCCCATTCCTGCAGGAAGTCCATCCTTTCCATGTGGAGTCCCAACACCACCTGCACTTACTACTCCTTCACCATCAGCCAGACCAATACCAGCCCCAGCTGAGAGACCATCCTTTCCATGGGAAGATCTTACAGCCCCGACACCCTGACCACCAGCACCACCAAGTTCAGCTCTTAATTCTGGTGGAATACTGTCCATTCCATATGGAGAGCCAGCTGCTGCTGCGGCAGTTAAACCAACCCCAGCCCCAGCCAGGAGACCACCCTTTCCATAAGAAGCTGCAGCTCCCCCTGCCCCAGTCATATCTGCACCACTGGCACCTGCCCCAGCTGCCATTCCCACTGGGAGACCATCCTTTCCATAGGGAGAACCAGCACCTCCCAAACCAGCAACACTAGCCCCAGCTGGGAGGCCATCTTTTGCAATACCTTCCAAACCACCACCACCACCA